CACAGTCTCTTCTGTACCGTGGTGAATTTTCCTTCCAGTCTTATCTTTAAAGGCTTTTTGCTGGGGATTGGTATTTGACTTTGTCATGTGATCTACCAATGTGCTATATTGTATTAAGATTTTCTAATGACTATGACATTGCCTCAATTTTATTAAGTAAATCACTCTGAAAACATTTTGATAAAGAAATTAAAACATCTCATTGAACTGTTCATCCTTATTTCGTATCTGAATCTTTGGGAAACCCCAGTTTTTGAAAGCACACGTATAAAACAGCTTTATGTTTCCCCATCATGGCTACTAACTTCCCTCTGTCCGGACTCACTTCTGTGCTGCATAGCAGGGGTCTTGGAGGTTTGCTGTCCAGATCCCAGAACTTCCCTGTCTCCTTTAGTTTTTAGAATAGACTCATTTTTGTATTAAGGTTCTGTGATAGCCATTTTCTTCTCAAATGGCGTATTTAATTGTTGAATACATTATACTCTGGCATAGCTTTATTATTATTATTATTATTTTTTGGAGACAGAGTCTTACTCTGTTGCCCAGGCTGGAGTGCAGGGGCACAATCTCAGCTCACTGCAACTCCACCTCCCAGGTTCAAGCAATTCTCCTGCCTTAAATTCTTCCTTCCAATTCTACTCCCCAACTATCCAGGCTCCCTCATCTGATTTAATCTAATTTTAGGTGTGTGTGTGTCTGTGTGTGTGTGTGTGTGTGTGTGTAACCATTGATACTAATTTTGATACTAATTTCTCACAACTCCTTCCGGAAGTTCTTAGGCACATCTGAATACATCTGAATACCTTTCCCTCTATATGCTGATAGGAACATACCAAACGCGCTCTTGTTGCTTTGTTCTTGCTGTATCCTAGTGTCCTTTCTTGACCAGTACTGTTGACTCAACTTCCTCTTTTTGGCTTTTACAACTGCATCGTCTCCCATTTGTGAAAACGTTTAGAATTTTCTCATCTGTGAGGCCAGTTTCTGGTTAAGAGACATCCCTGTTGCTTCCAATTGCTCGCCCTTGAGCAATGCTGCCATGAGTCACTGGCTCCAGGATGATGCTGCAGTGAGTCACCTGCACCCAGGACACTCCCTACAGTGCAGCCAGATCCAGGGGCCAAACTCCTGCGGGGGAGATGGCTGGGTCAACACGTATTTGCATTTTTACTTTGACAGGCATTGCCAAACTGCCCCGTGGGGCTGGAATCCATGTAAACTCCCACCAGCAGGGATGGCGGCTGCCTCCTGCCCTGGGCTGCACCAATTACTCTTTTGAGTTTTTGCCAATATAGCAAGTGAAAAAAGACATCTCAGTGTGATTTGGATTTTCTTTCCTCTTCCAGGGCACAGGGCTGAAAATCTTTTCACAAGATTTTAAGGGTGATTTGTATCGACTTTCCTGTACACTGTTTATATCCTTTGCTCATTTCAGCCACGTTCCAATTTTCCAAAGTTCAATCTCATATTGTTCAAAGCTCTACTTGCAGACTGTTTGGGGAGTGGCAAGCAGCTGGCTTGGAGCCACCCTCCTCACCTCCCCTCCTCCCTTAGTGGTGGGGGAGGGAGCAGGGATCATCCAGCCGAGGCTCTCCTCCTGGGCCGGCTGCTCACCGTGGTAGGAGGCATCCCTCTGGGGCCTTTGAGGTTGTCACACACACACACACACACACACACCACACATACACACAACACACACACACACACACACACACACACACACACACACACGGGAGACCATCCTTCCCAGAGGAGTGGCCACATCTGCCTCTGGCCCTGGGGGCACCTGCCTGCTTGCAATTCCTTCTCCAGCTTGGGTCTCCTATTGCTTGGCCCTCCTATTGCTTGGCCCAGTGGTCACCTGGTCAGTCCCCATTTGGGTTCTAAGGACCCTCGGGGAACTCCAGGGTCTTCTTGTACAAGGGCTGCTCCAAAGACCATGGAGAACAAAGATAAGGTTGAGGGGGCTCATTTCCTTTAAGGACACGCAAGCTACAATCCCTTTGAGCCCCATGGACCAAAGTCTTCCAGCAGGTCCTACCTTCGGAAATCCTCCAGCCCAAAGCCAGCTCCATTCCCACATGCAGTGTATTCCCAGATCTCGGCACCCTCTCCCAGGACTCTGGATTGGGCCCGTGGGTGCCACAGCCCTTCGAGCTTCCAGCTGGGAGCCTCTCCTTCCTACAGGGACCCCTAGGCCTTTCCAGGGCTTCTTTGGAGCCGGCTTCCTCTTTGCATGGGCTACAGCACCCCCAAAGGGCCAAGCTCCTCCATTCTTCCTCCTCTTTTATCTGAGAGTGGAGACTACCACAGGGGCATGCCGCCCTCCGTGATCCCTCTTTGCCGGCAGACTCAAGCTGCAGCAGAAATCTGTTTGGCCTTAGCAGTAATTCCAGAACATCAGAAAACGTCCTGCTCTGGCTGGACATGGGGGCTCATGCCTGTAATCTCAGCACTTTGGGAGGCCAAGGCAGCTGGATCAGTTGAAGTCAGGAGTTCAAGACCAGCCTGGCCAACCTGGTGAAACCTCGTCTCTACCAAAAATATAAAAAATCAGCTGCGTGTGGTGGTGCATGCCTGTAATCCCAGCTACTCAGGAGGCTGAGGCAGGAGAATCGCTTGAACCCAGGAGGCAGTGGTTGTAGTGAGTCAAGATCATGCCACTGCACTCCAGCCTGGGCTATAGAGCGAGACTCTGTCTCAAAAAAAAAAAAAAAAAGAAAGAAAGAAAGAGTCCTACTCTGTATCTTACACTGCCTCCATCACTTGATTTATTCTTTCTTCCTGCTGTATGTAGTTTTTGCCTTTTGATTTATAAATGCTGTATATAACTTTTAAAGATATTTAATTGACAAATACAGAATATGTTCAAGGTATACAATGTGATTATCACAATCAAATTAACACACTTCTCACCGCCCAGGCTATATGTTAGATCCCCAGAACTTGTTCATCTTATAACTGAAAGGTTTTACCCTCTGACCCCCATCTCCTCATTCTCCCTACTCACCCCCACCACCTTTGGCAACCATTGTTCTCTCTGCTTCTAAAAGTTTGACTTTTTAGATTCTGCATATAAGATCATGCAGTAATTGTCTTTCTGTATATGGCTTATTAACCACATACAGAAACCCCAACCAAGCTCATCCATTCCAAGCTCATCATGCTGCTGCAAATGGCTGGGATCACTTGAGGTCAGGAGTTCGAGACCAGCCTGGCCAACATGGTGAAACCCCACCTCTACTTAAAAAAAAAAATTAGCCTGGCCTGGTGTCAGGCGTCTATAATCCCAGCTACTTGGGAGGCTGAGGCAAGAGAACTGCATGAACCTGGAAGGCAGAGGTTGCAGTGAGCAGAGACGGTGCCACTGGACTTCAGCAAATCTCTGTCTCAAAAAAAGAAAGAAAGAAACAAATGCAATCTCGGGCCCCACCCAGGACCTCCTGAGTCAGAATCTGTGATTTAACGAGAGCCCAGTCTAGGAACCTCAGCTCTCCACACCCACTGTGCCCCTCCCGACAGGCACTGTGCCTTCCTCCACTACAGCTGGTGATTGCTACAGCTGAGCCTGCAACCAGCTCCCCGCAGCTCCCCACCTCCTTGTCCCCATGTGTCCTGACCTCCCAGGCCACTGATTTACACACTGATTCATGCAGCCCAGGACTGGGTCACCTCAGCTCCTGTGCCTGAAGCCGCATAACTCACACCGAGACAGCCGAATAGAGCCTCCTCCTGCCTCTGATTCTCCCAGGCCTGCCTTCAGCCCACAGTTACAACAGCAGCGTTTGACCACATACATCACAGATCGCCCAACAAATGCATCAGATAGCTGCAGTGTGGCCCCTGCCGCACCATTTGCCAGCCATGTGACCTTGGCCAGATAATCACAGCTCTGAGAGTGGCAGCTGCCTCATTTATGAAGTGGTGGGGGAGGGAGGTAATTATCACATTGACTCATGCAGAAGTTGTGAGGCTTGGCTAGGGTAACTCATCCATTCATCTATTGCTGTAAAAAAATGTTTACAGAGTGTTGCTGTGTGGCTGGCATCGGGACAGCAGAGACCCAAACAGACCAAGTCCTGCCCTAAGGAAGCTTGTTAAGGAGAGAATGTGGACAGACATAAAATGAAGATGTGAGTCCCATGCCAGCAGGTGCTCAGGGGGTGTTCATGCATGCATGCGTGAATGAATGAATGAATGCAAGTTCGCCATGAGCTGCACCCTCCCTCAATCACCAAGCTATGCCCAGGCTCCTCCACCCTAAAGTCACCATGGGATAGAAAGCCATGGGTCTAAAGCCGCAGAGGAACTTAAGGGAACATCAGGAGATTGGGGTGGGGGAAGCTGCTGGGTTTTCCGGCAGTTAATGGATATAGACGAATCAAGGCAATTATAAAAAGATTCCAGACGTAGAGCACATTTGCCTAAAATAGTTGACAATTGCAGCAGAATTAAGATTGTTTTACAGATAGTTTTACGAGCTCTCCGTGTGTGTGTGTGTGTGTGTGTGTGTGTGTGTGTGTGTGTGTCTAATCATCTCAAATACGTTAAGATTTGGGAATGCTTCTTTTCAGGGTTTCCGAGCCTCCTCATTTCAGGGAGAACAATCCCCCCAACTCTTATGGTATCATGCACATCCCTCTGAGGACTCTGAGCCTCCCTGGATCATGGAATTTGAGAGTTAGAAATTGAGAACACCCACCCACCCCATGTTTTCTGGACAGGAAACTGAGGCCCTGACCTACCCGATGTTAAGCCTGTGATTACAGGCAGCTGGAAATGGAGATTCGAACCCAGGTCCCCTGACTCCTGGCCCAGTGCCCTTGGTGGTTTACCATGTGGGGGTCCCCGCACCCCTGACACCGCACAGTAAATGCTGGTGGTCAGCGCTGACACAGGCAATGTCCACTGAGCCATGAACGTGGCACAACAGGCTACAGAGCCAGACACTCAGCCTGGGTGGCATGGTGAAACCCCATCCCTACAAAAAATACAAGCACATACTTACCTGGCAGGGAAGATACCATGATCATGAAGGTGGTTTTCCCAGGGCAAAGCTTATCCATTGCACTCCAGATGTGCTGACCCCTGCAATTTCTCCAAGTATGGGAAACTCGGCTGCATAATTTGTGGTAATGGGGGACTACGTTTGTCCTTTCCCCGATTGTTTAAAAAAATAAAATAAACACAAAAAATACAAGTATTAGACGGGCATGGCAGCATGTGCCTGTGGTCCCAGCTATTCCAGAGGCTGAGGTGGGAGGATGGCTTGAGCCCAGGAGGTCGAGGCTGCTGTAAGCCCTAGATGAGCCCTTACTGCACCACTCCACTCCAGCAAGAGTGACAGACCACCAGCTCCACCTATAAGACAGGAAAGGGCAAACCAAGACTCTGATTGGTGTTTTCCAGGGGCTGGGGGCGTGGCAGGAACTGACCTCAGCAGGTACAAGGGGACTTTGACGGGGGAGGGAGCTGTTCTGTTTCTTGGCGGTGGTGGTTACATGCACTGAATGTGTTTGTCAAAACTAATAAAAAGAATAAATTATACCTCAAGTTTTATTTTGTTTTGTTTCATTTTTGTTTTGTTTTTGAGACGGAGTCTTGCTCTGTCGCCCAGGCTGGAGTGCAGTGGTGTGATCTCGGCTCACTGCAACCTCTGCTTTCCGGGCCTCAGCCTCCCAAGTAGCTGGGATTATAGGCACCTGCCACCACACCCGGCTACTTTTTTGTTTTGTTTCTGTATTTTTAGTAGAGACGGGGTTTCACCATGTTAGCCAGGCTGCTCTGGAACTCCTGACCTCAAATGATCCCCCCCATCTCAGCCTCCCAGTTTGCTGGGATTACAGACGTGGGCCACTGCACCCGGCCTCTCAAGTTTTTAAGATGCAGCCTAAAATAATGATGATGATAATGATAAAAATAATAACAACCTTGAAAGTCAAAAAAAGAAAAAGTCCATGTTAGGATCACAGCACAGAGGCCCCGGGGTCCCCTGGTCAGACCTGGAAGATGCCTGTTAGTAAGTCATTCTGGCCTGGGCTAGGGATTTCTGCCCACAGGCTTTTCTCCTGGGAGATACCTGAACCCAACACTCCAAAACCAGCGTGCTCTGACCCAAATCTGGCTTCACTCCTGCTTCCCAGACCAGGAGCGGCATTCCACCAGGCACCCAGGCCCGCTACAGCTGTGGGCCAGCTCCCTTATCCACTGCTCCCAAAACCACCACAAGGCACTGACCCGTGATTCCTCCCGTTCCTCCCTGCAGCCCCGACCTGGTCAGGCACTCACCTGTGTGCCATCCCCCTCAGGACGGGCTCTGTGTCCCCACTACCCTGCCCTGTGCCTTCCTCCCTGGGATGCTGTGCCTCCTGCCCAGGACCTGCCAGGGCCCCTGGCCACCAACAGGGTTTGCTGGGTGAGCTCCTCAGTCAGTCCAGCAGTCAGAGGCCTCCACAGACTGGCATCAAAACGCAATGAATTCCTATATCATCCACCCCACTCCCACCCCACAGGACCCCTGCCCATCACTGTCTAAAGGTCCAGCTCTTTGCTGAGAGCAGCCTCAATACAAGAGCATGGGTTAGCTGGTAGGCACAGGGGCCGGGGAAAGAAGAGAGAAGGAGATGCCAGGGCAGGCGGGCCCCACTGAGCTCCAGACTCCACCTGGACAGCTCCAGTGACAGGGACGTCAGCCCCCCTGGCAGCCCCTCCAGCTTTGGGGAGCTCGGACACTTGTGGGTCTCCGCCTTACATTGAGCTCGAGGCCATCCTTGTCTGTGGTCCTCATTCCCATTCTGCCCCCAGGCCCTCAGAGGACAGCTGGGTGATGATGGTGACCTCATCCCTCTCGAGTCTCTGCCCATCCTTGCAGCCAGGCTCCCAACCACAGCAAAGGCAGGGGTCCCCAATCATCTGGCCAGAATGGAAGCCCCCCTCCTCCTCCCCATCCTCATCCCCCTCCCTCCTCCCCTCCCCCTCCCCCCTTGCTGGCTCAAGAATGGTTTCTCTCTTACTGTGACCTCATCCCTCAGTGACTCAGGTTAAACTTTCTGTGAATGAAAATCACCCCATCTCGCTGGAGCTGTAGGTTCTTTGCCACATTTATGACAAGCGTCGTCCTCCCAGGCACTCTGGGAATGGTGCGTATTAATGGTCCAACCTAAGTGTGACCTCCCAGCCACTGCACAGTCCTCTCTGGCCACCTGAAATAGCAGCGTTACTCTCGGCTGCAAGGGGCTTCACCCATCCCTTGGTAGAGAATAAGCTCCTCTCATCCCATGAGGCAGTGCACATCCAACTTCGTGGATCAGGAAACAGAGGCCGTGACCAGAAGGGTCTGGCACTGCTGGGTCCCCCAGCTGACCGAAATGGGGAAGGCACTGCCCAGGTCCCCATGAGCACAGGTTGTGCCCTGCACGTGGCCCAGCTGCTCTGAGGCAACCTCTGAGTACCTTAATGCTCATTTCTGCCTGGCCGATAATTTATTGGGAAGGTGGTTAGTAAAACAGGACCAGCTCTGCAAGCAGGTGGGAAAGGAGGCGCCATCCCAGGCCAAGCCTTCTAACACAAACCTGTGTTGTAAGTAGCTGATTCTAGGAACCAGAGTGGTCTTCAGTCCTCAAATCCCCCTACTCAGAAAGTCCTGATTCTGGTCTTAGGTTAAGAAGGCACTCTCTGCCTCCGGTAGGGAACCCAAACTACTGGCTGTTCTACTGCCTGCCTGCCCCAGATCAACAGTGTGGGGCTGGCTGGCGGGTGGAGAAGAAGGGGTTTGGGAACTCAGAGGGACTCCAGAGGAAGAGGCGTGGGTAAGAGGAGGGGTGCAGCGGGAAAGGAGGCGTCTGAAGCCCAGCCCTCCATGCTCCCCATTTTACCAAGGAAGACATGGGCAAAAGCGGTGGCTCTTAAGCCTCCTTCAGTTTTCAAACTTTTTTTTTGTATTTTTACTTTTATTTTTATTTATTTATTTTTTTGAGATGGAGTCTCACTCTGTTGTCCAGGCTGGAGTGCAGTGGCCTGACCTCTACTCACAGCAACCTCCACCTCCCAGGTTCAAGCAATTCTCCTGCCTCAGCCTCCCAAGAAGCTGGGACTACAGGCATGCGCCACCACGCCCAGCTAATTTTTGTACTTTTAGTAGAGATGGGGTTTCTCCATGTTGGCCAGGCTGGTCTTGACCTCGTGACCTCAAGTGATCCCAGCTACCACCTCTGCCTCCCAAAGTGCTAGGATTGCAGGTCGGCACTTGGCCGAGTCTCCAACCACTTTGAGAGCATGACAGAGTCTCTGGACCGATAGCCCAGGAAAATGCATACGCTCATACACAGCCTTGCACCCCCAAAACCTCCATGGAGTCCATGGGACCCCAGGTTTCAAGCCCTCAGATGGGTAGAGAACTGAGAATTCCTAGCTTGGCTTCTCTGTCTAGCATGCTGTCCCACCAGCTCAGACCCACCCAGAGGGTTTACACAGTCCCTCACCCTGAGCACCCCCGCCCTAGAAGGAGGTCTGTGTCAGGAGGGCGGTGAGGTGTGTTCCTATCCTATCGCCCTTTTCCTGTGAAAATTGTCCTAGTTCAGATGATACGTTATATGGTCTCCCTAGAGGGAGGTGACCATTCTGTTTCTCCAGCCCATGGCAGGGTGGCTGTGGGATGAGAAGACCTTATTTCCCACCAAGGCCACATGTCATTCCATCAGAGAGGCCACTAATGCACCCACTAGACTTGGCCGCCAGCTGATGGCAAAGTTTGCCCTCTTGGGGTTCAAGCTTGCCCATGTCTAAACTTACCATTGTGAGACCTTGCACCAGCCAACAGTCCTTTCTCATCTTCTGAGACTTTCTTTCTTTCTTTTTTTTTTTTTGCTCTGTCGCCCAGGCTGGAGTGCAATGGTGCAATCTCAGCTCACTGCAACCTCTGCCTCCTGGGTTCAAGCAATTCTCTGCCCCAGCCTCCCAAGTAGCTGGGACTACAGGCACCCACCACCCAGGCACCCACCACCATGCCCAGCTAATTTTCTGTATTTTTAGTAGAGACAGTGTTTCACCATTTTGGTGAGGCTGGTCTTGAACTCTTGACCTTGTGATCCACCCACCTTAGCCTCCCAAAGTGCTGAGATTACAAGCGTGAGCCACTGCGCCCGGCCTCTGAGACTTTCTTTTCCTGTCTGGACATTTATGGTCCCTCTTAATGCTCTCCTGGAATTCCCCGACTATTTCTGCTTCTCTTTTTCTCTTGAATTATTTAAGAAGTGTTTACTTGAATGTAGTTTTGCAAGCCACTTTAAACATTTCCCCCTAAAAGTGCCTCCTATGAATAATATAAACAAACCACAATTATAAAATGATACATGAATGCCTCCAAATTGTAGAGATTAAGCTGTAATTTTCAGTGGCAAAGACATGGATGCCAGGATGTGCAGATTAGCCCACATTTCCTCAAATTAGAATGAGAGTGAAACTCCACAGTCTGAACAGAACACTTTGCCTGGTGACTTTAACTGAAAATTGTTCTCTTTCTATTCTAAAGCACTCAGAAGCTTGGGAAAGTCACTGGCCTCCAGTTGTTCTGCTAGAAACAGCTGGCTCTATATCCATGGAGACCAAGGAATCTGAGGATGTGAAAAAGACCCAGAGGAAATCAGGAAGTGATCAGCGGAACACTGATAACGAACCAGCCAAGGTGAAACCTGAGTTACTCTCAGAAAAAGAAGAGACTTCTCGAGCTGACCAGGAGATCCAAGACAAACAGCTTCACCGCCACATCCCAATTCAGAGGAATTCCATCTTCAACCGCTCCATAAGACGCAGAAGCAAAACCAGGGCCAGAGACAGCCCCACACGGAACCCCAGCTGCCTGGCAGGTCAGTGTCAGGGACAGCTGTCACGGCTGTTCTCTTATATTGGTTGGAGTCATCAGTGCTGAAAGGTCCTCATCAAATGAGAAAGAGTAAGTGGTGTTGAAAATCTGGGAGGCAGAGGCAGAGGAATCACTTGAACCTGGGAGGTGGAGGTTGCAGTGACCCCAGATGGCGCCACTGCACTCCAGCCTGGCAACAGAGCAAGACTCTGTCTCAAATAAATAAATAAAAGAATAAAAATAAAGAATAAAAAAATAAAATTACGAAGGATAGGCCGGGCACGGTGGCTCATCCCGGCACTTTG